CACCTTTGGCAGTTTGCATATCTGGCAGGGAACAGGCCCTTCCTTCAGGTTTCTGTCCCCTTGGGCGGACAGAGTGGCCAAGGCAGACTTCTCGGTTATTTTCATCTCAGTAGGGTATTATCACGCTAAAATGAAGTCACACTCTGAAATGTGTCATCTGGAGCAGTAAGTACAAGAGGCCCAGGTTAAGAACCTTGAAGCACATAGTAACTTTTGGTTTAAATGTTAACCTTTCTCTGGGGTATATCCACATTTAAAATAACCCCCCTTTTTTTTTAAGAGTAGAGAACAATAATTTAGAATTTAACTCAGTCACTTCTTGGGTTTCAGGATAAATTTTTTTTAGTTTTTAGCATCTTATTTAAAAAAATATGTCCACTTTTGAGGGATCAAATTTCAGCTGCTAAACCACTCAGGATGAATTTCTCTGCTGGTTTAAATGAAAGGCTTTCAAATTTTCCATACTTAGTTTATCACTTAACAAAAATCCAAATCTCTTGTACATTGCAGGACTAGCAAGAGACAGTTATATAAAAGGATTTTTTTTTAAAAAGGGCAATAAAAGAAGTTTGATTCATAACTTGAGTGTGGAAAAAAATGCTATTTCATGCCATAGTGAAAATAGTAAAATTCTGCAAAATTCTCAAATCATATCTGAGTAAGAATATCCTATGGAAAGTCAAGTTCTGACATTTAAAATTAAAGGGCTTTCTGCATAATAATCAGTGATCAAAGAGCAAAAAGTTTAATTAGTTTTGTGTCATCTCAGAAATTAACACACATTCTTAAATGCACAGTTTTATATCAAACTGGTCAGCTTAGAAGGTTTTTCACATTATAATTAGATTTTCTATGCAATGTCTATTATAGACAATTTTTTTTTCAGCAGTTTGCTATGGGCCAGGGTGTCGGGGTTGAATAAGCAACAATTAATGATTCTTAGGGAGGTTTTTGGCTAGGTGTGAAGGGATATTTGTACAAGAAGCAATTGTTTGATTACACCTTGAAATGGAAATCTGTACCATTCAGCCCTGCCAGTGAGATATTGAGAAATGATCAGAAAGAAAATTATGGTTCCCGTCTCCTGCTTTTCTACCTGCGGCCACTCATGTTCCTGCCCTGGTCGGATTGCTCCTCTTTCTAATAGAAGCTTTGTTGCTTATTAGGCTACTTGCTGAATTGAAGGGATATTAAGTGTTATTCAGAGACTGTTCTTGTCACTTTTACAGTAGTAATTGATTTCTCCCAGTGTAATTTATAAATAAAACCATAATACATACATGATTTTTTCAGAGGCCAGGGGATATTTAAAAATATTTAGATGTAAATATGATTCTCAAAAATACTGTGCGTTGAGGTTTAGTAAAAAAAAAAAAAATGCCAGAGACTCATGATGCACCAGTGCATTTTTGCTAAAGTCATTTGAGAAGTCTATGAGTTTAGACCTTATAATAATTCGTCGGGGTATAAACAGTAGTCTATAGATAGGTGAAAAGTCCATAATATTAATCTTATATTTAAACCTGTGTGCAAAAACTGATTCCTTAACAAAATATTTGCAGCCTCACAATGATTTTTCAATCAATCTTGTAAATCAATCTCTGCCATACTGATGTAATCAAGAAATTGAAGCGCATGGTTTATCTAAATACTGCCAATTTGTTACTAGAGATATAACAGGTGTTGGCGCCTTACACAGAGTAACTTATCTAATGATTTCCTGCTGAAATGCTTTCACGTAAATTATACTGGCATTTTAGTCTAGGTCCATACTGCCCGATTTTATAGCACGAAACACTACAGTTAAGGTTTAGGTGTAAAATGTTCCTCCAAGTTCTCATTTCGGAAGTGGAGCTATTAGAAGTGATTAGATCATGGGGCACCATAATTAACACTATGGGGCGCCAAATTGCACCGTGACTGAGTTTCTGGCTGACTCTGTGCAGTATTGGGAGGTGGGGCCCAACTGGAAGAGCAGGAGAAGGGACCTGAAAGGACGTATTAGGCTTCTTCTCCTCTCTCCATTTCCTGGCCACCATTGAGGAGATTTCCTCTGCAATAAATGCCCTCGCGCAGGCCCTCTCTGCCTTAGAACCAGCTTACCGTGGGCTGAACCCTCTGAAACCATGGGGCAAGATAAACCTTCCCTCCTTTAAGTGGTGGGTGCTGGGTATTTTGGCTCAGCAGTGAGAGAGCCGACTTTTACATTTATCAGCTTCAAAATCATTATACTCTTTAGTCGGATGCCCCTGTGATCACTTCACTTAAATCACTGAACTCTATTTCAAAAATAAAATTACTAAGTGAAAGCTAATATAAGAAAAAAATCATTTGAAAATGTTCATTGGAGTACGTAGAATCTGTGTAGTATAGAGAAAATAAGTTGGCCATTACTTGATATTTGGAAATGGATTTGGGGAACATGGGCTCATTATGCTGTTTTTAAAATCTTTGTATATGTTCGGAGTTTTTCTCTAGTAAAAATTTCTTTTTTGTCTTATTTGGCACAAATCAAATAAAAGCATTATATGTATTTTAATGAAAATTTGTGTAGATTTAAAATGGTTTTCTCTTATACTTTTGATGTGGCTTTCTTATGATCTGCATTATGGTCTTGGTATTGTCTCCCTTCCTTAACCCATATGGTTTTGAAAGCTAAAATACTGTGTACAAGCAGAGATCAAATCCGGTCACCTCCGTGTATGAGCTCCATAACTTTGTCGGTGATATTGCTCTCGGGAGGACGCAGTTGGCAAAGTCATCGAAAAGGCATTCGGTTTTCCACTGAATAGTTTGTGAACGAATATAAATAATTGCAAAAGCTCAAGATTAGAGCAGCATAGAAGGAAGCCGTGATCCTGAAATTCATGTCCATTAGAGTTCTCTACAAGTGGACTTCACAAAATGTCCTCTTCAAAGCCCATTCTACCGGGGGGCAGGACCTTCAGTGCACTGCAGTGGTGTGTGTGTGTGTGTGTGTGTGTGTGTGTGTGCGTGTGTGTGTGTGCATTAGTAAACTGTAGCGTCTGAGGGGAAGAGGAATGGAGTCAGGGAGGCTCAGGGAGGGAACTGAGGCACAGCACAGTGAAGGTCCATGAGGAACTGAGTCATAACACATCCCTCCCAAGGGTACACACAGCCAGAGTAGACAAGTCGGGCTACTTGAGAGAGGTGTGACTCTGGGAGAGACGAGCAGTCTTCCAGATCACCCAAGTGGGGACCACTGAGTAGTCAGGGACCAGTTTCTGAACTTAGTGAAGGAGAAGTTCCCGAGGGAGAAAACAGTGGACAGCCCGCTGGGAGGAAGAATTGAGTCTTAAGAAAAGCTCCATATTCATAATTGTTATGTCCTGGACGGTTCCATCCAATCCCACAAGGATGGTTTTGTTTAGGATGAAAGATTTTCTTTCAGAAAGAAACTGAAGAAAACAGTAGAAAAATCTGCTGCAAATTTTTTAAAGTAACTTACAACTGATACCTTAAAACCATTTTTTTTTTTCCTAAGCTTAAGCATGAACTGCTCTACATGGTTCGGAAACTTTGAAAAGCCCAAGGAGAGAAACATCTGAACAGCTTGGGAGCATCTGTTGATTGTTTAGACATATTCTTTTCATTTCTCCATCCCACTTTTACTCAGCAAATATTAACTGAGTGGCTACTATATGCTAGTCATATAGATGAAGGTTTAGAGCAGCACATAGAACTATGGTAAGAATTCAGTATCTACATGTAAATACTGACAACTTATTAGCTGAACCATCTAGTCTAGGCTGGACAGAGATCATACTGGCATTGTAGTTGACTGGAATTTTGTTCCAGAAAAAAATGAATATTACAGTTTTGTCAAAAGATTTGTCTGAAGAAATAACTGTACTAATAAAATCATATATGTAGAGCAAACAGTATTTCTTCTATGTAAAACCACAAAAACAAATTTGCATTCTAATAATCATAGTTATGATACAAATGAATAATAATCTCTCCAACAATAAGTAAAGTATAAATTAGAAATTAAACCTCTTTTACGGGGCCAAAAAATGTGGAATGTTAGCTTATAATTCTTTGCCAAATTATTGTCATACAATCTTGTTATCTTATAACTTTAATTTATATTTCAATTTTAAATAAGGTAATATCAAATCAAAGATTAAACACGTGTATATATGTATATATCAAATGCTACATTTACAGATAGATTAGTAAGTGCACATGATAGCTCCTAAATAAATATGAGATGAGTGAATACAGGTGAATATCTAAAACAAATTACCAAATCTTTGCATGTTGCTAAAAATTTTTATTATCAAAAACTTAGCAAAGTGAATCAAGAGGCATAGTAAGTGAAATGTGAGATCCATCACTGCATGTAGAAGTCTTTATTCTCTCTTTATTTGTACTCCAGATAGTTAAGCACATTTTCATTTGCCATGTCTTTCTTGCACATTTCTGTAATGAGAAAACTGCAGCTTGCTTCCTCTCGGAAAGCTGTCATTACCGAGGCTACTCTGATAGTGAGGCCACTGCAGTGCTTGGGCCGGAGGGGGCGGATCAGAGATGCATCTCTGGCTGGAAATTGGTGGCCAGGGTTAATTCTTATGGGTCCCAGTCAGTGACTTTCACCCACCACTTTATTAGTGCCTAAACATCCCACCAATTTGAAGGATGCTAATCCAGAAATAACTTACCGAGAAATTTTAAGTGTTCAAATTCCAGTAACAAATGTAAAACAGTATTTCATGGTCACACTACAAGGAAGTCACATAGTTTTTTGGAATCTTTATCTTGTGCTTTAACTTCAGTCTTTTCTTTTCTTCTTTTTATTTGTCTCAGCAAGCCTCATTCTCTGCAATTCCCTCAATATCTTTATTTCCCCTCAAAACTGATGAATGCCATAATCAATATTACTATGTTATTGTTTTTATACTTCTTTCCTTCTTTGTTTACATATGTCTTGAAATAGTACTTTGCAATAATTTATTTACCTTTTTTTCTTTCCCAAGAGCCAGGAAAAGCTCCTGAAACCAAACAAGGTACTATAAAAGTTGCAGCACCAGGTAAGCCATAAAACAACAAAAGTCCAATTGCTTTTTTTCCTCCATAAGTGAATAGCACTTTATTGACCAAGGCAAAAGCTGTTTATTGAAGGATAGCACCATCTGCTGGGTTATTACAAAAACTGTTATATGATGGCAGGAAGACACACTTGCAAGTAATCATTTGGTAATGGGGCCAGGCATTCGAGACTAAGACAAAATTGCAGAGGAATTGCAGAAGGAAACAAAGATGAGGATTTGGGCTCCAAATTTCAGTCATCGAGCTTTTACATATATCCAAAGTAATGGTGGAGGCCAACAAAACTGGTTAATTCTCAAACCATGAGGGCTAGTTTGATGAAAACCTAAGGGAAGGGCACAGATTTTTGCTGTGGTCATGCACAGATCTTTAGATGACACATTGAGAACATGAAAGCTTCAATGTTTATTGGAGATCTTTGTCTTCTCTCCCTCCACAACTCAGCAATGGTGAGGAGGTGCTGAGACAGGGGTGCAGACACATGTGGGGTGCAGCTCACATTAGATTCCTCAAGCAGACCTTGGACAGTTTAAAAATCGTTGATTTGTAAATGAGCAAATTATAGAATTTTATGTGAAAAAGATAAATCACCCTTGCTCTTTCTGTTCTGACTGAAACTTCCATAGAACGTGGTGTAGATGTACAACTGTAGCTCAAGGAGGGAATTTCGTTTTACTTCAACCTCTTATTAGGAGTTCAGAGGGAGAAACTGGAGATATTTGGAAATTCCCTCCAAATGTGAGCTTGAGGCTATGGTTTCTTTAACATTCATACTACATCCAACAAGACAGCCTCTGAACTTACTCTTTGGGAATAAAGGAATTATTTTTGAGTGAATGGTAGTCTAGTCATAAATTCTTGTTAGAACTACGCTTGTGAGAAAATCAGATGGAAATGTTGGTTGAGCACAGAGAGAAAGGCAAGAGTTAGGCAGCATATGAGCTCACTATAATGACAACCACATACCAAGGCAGGAATAAAGAGAGCCTCTACAGTTCTCTCACAGGCACATTTGCTAACACTCCAGGAATGAAACTAAATCATGCACACAAATATAGAAGTAACATTTTCAAGTATTAGATATGTGAACACATGTGGGGTGAAGCTCACATTAGATTCCTCAAGCAGACCTTGGCCAGTTTAAAAATCGTTGATTTTTAAGATATCAGAAGTTGTACAGAACTTACATACACTTGGGAATAATGCTATAGTAGACTGATATTTTTTCTGTTTTGTTTTTTGATTTTGGTACTGGGGATCGAACTCATGACCTTGCAAGGCAGGTGGCTGCACCACTGAGCTAAATCCTCAGCCCTAGACTGATGTTTTAGAAGGAGCAAAATTAATAATGCTTGTAGGGTGATAAAGGCTACATCGTATCTTTCTTTTACTTTTTACTTTTGCAAGAAGAAATATTTAATATGGAAGTTTACCTGAACACGTGTTTAATTGTAATTATTGTTAAGATTCTCATACTTCTTTGGAAATATATTACTAAAGTTATTTTAATGAAGTTTCGAGGCACTAAGGAGTCTATGAAATAAATATCTCTATAATGTAGGAGACTGATTTGGAGATACAAGACATGTAAGGAATACATAGATAAGGTGTCTTTAATAAAATCATAGACATATTGAATATTATGTGATTGAAGACGATGTAGCTGTTAGTGTTGGCATTTGAGGGATTCTTCGCGGGTGAGCAGGGATGCGGCTGGGAATCGGACTGGCTGAGAAGAGAGCGCTGTCAGCCCAACATTAAGAGTGAGGAAACGCTGCGAGAGTCCACTGTTATTAAAGCACGAGACAAGGACCTCAGAGAAGGTCATGGAAGGGACATAAGAAAGGTACAAATGTGATGATCACTTTGAAGAACTGAGTATAAGCTTGGAGCCCCAGAAAGAGTGAAAGGGTGCTTCCCGCTGGAGCCTGGGAGAAAGGAGGGTGCTGACTCCTGTATGCAGGAGGCCGGAGAGATGAGCAGCTGGAAGGAAGATGGAGCCCTTTTTTGGCGGATGATTAAGCTTGACCAGATGAAGAGCAATCCGGGCAGAGATTTTTCAGTCACCCATTAGAATCGAGGTGGAAGTTCTATCTGATTTGTAGGTATCATATGATAAATAGTGAGAAGGCCAGGGATGTAGCTCAGTGGTGCCACCACCTGCCTCACAAGCACAAGGTCCCGAGTTCTATCTTTACCCCCCCCAAAAAAAACCCAAAAAACCACTTGAACTATAACCCCGATAGCCTCATCACCATGAGATAGGAATGAAGAGCCCCGTCACTGAGGACCACAACTATCTGGTAAATCAGGTATCACTGACAGAGTCCAGCTGAGTAGAGTAGGACTGGGCTGGCTATCCTGAGGGCTTACAAGGGGACACAGGGACACACGAGTCACAAAGCCATTCTAGAGAGCAGCTGGACCCCAGCAGTTTGGCTTTGCTTAGTTTCTGGGTACGGAATCCAGCCTGCCAGATCACAAAACCTTCCTGATGGCACCGAAGAGAGGCCATCATCTTCCAAGGATACCAGAAGCGCAAGAAACTGGTGTAGATAGCAGAGGTCAAATGCCTGCACTGAATGCTCTGCCATTGTCACTACAAAACTGAAACTTAAACTGTGAAGAAAATAAGAATGGGAAGGAGGAAACAGTGCAGGTGTGTGTTCTATACCTGTACCTTCTTCCTGGGTTATTTTAGATTTTGACATAGCTACAAAAGATTTTGCTGTTTTTAAAAGAACTTAGTTTCAGAGCCTTTCTTCCCTGTCGAGTTCCTACTAATGGCTTTGAAAAATATATTTGCATTCTCAGCCTACCTTCTGTCATCAGGCAAGGCACTAGTCACACTCCTCTAAGAAGTGGGTTTATCATCAGTGAGAAAAAGTACGCTTCTGGGCCAGCCACCAGCTGGGGATCCTCTGAGGGCCCTTGTTAGATGACAGCAACTTTTATTTGTAATTTTGTGCTATCTTATTTTGTTTTCTTGAAAGAGTCTTCCACTTCTACTGTCTAATCCAATTTGCTTTGGAGAGGATATGAATTGAATTATGGGAAATATCGTGAGACACTTGCATAAGAAAAATGCGTATCTTCCTCTTCTATCTAAAAGAGGAACACTGCTTCACCCCTTTTCCATAGTGCACACATCTGAGAGAAAATGTGAATAACATGTGAATTCTAAAATAAAAATATATACTTGCTAGATGATTTTGAAAATTATAAAAATAATTTTAAACAAAAGTGTTATCTGCAAACTAAAGAACGAACAAGTCCAGATCACAAGACATGCTGAAATTATTGCCACATGGCTTTGAAATCTGCCAGGCAGCACCCAAATCTTGAATTCAATTTAGTTGTTATCTTCATTATAGCATTAGCATGGACAAAGTTTTAAAATTGAAGAAGCTCAGAAGCATAGAATCTCTCTATATTTTCTGTATTATCAGTTAAAACTACATTAAAAAGAATGAAATGTCACAAAGTAGAAACAATATGTTTGTAAAGCTCACTTTGTAAACTACAAGGGTAACAGCAAATCAATAACATTTAGGAAGTGTGGGAAAATGACCTATACTAAGTTAAAGCACACTAGATTTCTTTTCTGGCTTTTGTTCCTGGCTTTTGTACTCAGCTGGGCCACTTCCTCCTTGAACATTTCCAAAAGATTTTAGGTCTTGATGCTCCATTTCATTGGGATGCTTTTATTTAGCTGCTATTATGAAGCTACAGGATGGCTTGAAAATGCCACAGCAACACTGTGCTATCACATCCATGTGTAGAGCAGCCCTGGTGTTGGCTCTCAGTGATCCTCAGCATCAGCTTGAGCCTAGCTGGATCACTGAGATCACCATCTCAGATTCAGGGAAGCAGAGTGAGACTTCTCTAAGCTGAGTTTGGCTCCTTGATTGTCTTAGGAGGGCACAGAGGTCCATTCCACCAGGAACCATCCTAAACCTGCAAACATCTCCCTTAAAGGCTTCTGTTGACACCTAAGAGATACAAATTCGTTTCTGATCATCACAAACCACTGCAGAGCCAGTCAGAATTCAAAGCTGCTTAACATATTCTGTGTCCTGGTTCTCTGTACAAATGATGGCATGTTCTTGGTCCAGAGAACGGTGGGACATTTACTCCTCCTTTCTGAAACGGAGTATTTAAGATAGTGTTATGGCAGTGCAAATGTAGAATGCACACTGACATATAATTCTTCAGAATCTACATCTAGGTACTTTGTAGACTATGACTTCCATGTTTCGGTATATCAATTTGTAGTCTTGTCTTTAGTGATCTTCCAGGATTTACTGTGGTTTCCTTTAATATAACTCTTTGAAACCTAAATTTAACTTACAATAAATGTATATTTATGAATTTGACTTAGCTGTATGACTCAATATATCACTTATTTCATTTTTGCTACATGCTTATTTCTGAATTTAAAAAATATTTATATGAAATAATATTTCAGATGTTATTCTTACTGTGAACTTGCAAGAGTTAATTATTATATAGGTGACCACTTGAAACTATAGAATATATTCTTATATTCTGGGAAGTATCCTAAGAAACGATCATTTCATATGTTTAACACTATTTCCTTTCATTATTTCAGCAGCAGTGAAAAAGGATGAGAAGAAGGAAGGTATGTTCAACGATTCCTTTCACCTTTTGTAGGAACAACTCACCAATGTTCAGAGTTGGGTTTGGGATGCTGTCCTAGCTATATTCCCGTAGGATATAGGATATTGCTGGATCTATTATGTGCATGTATTTAGCATGCATGGGCTCTTCTATTGCACCTCACACAAAATGATGCGCTAACTATTTAAACAGTAATTTTCATGCAGTCTTTTTCAAAATAAAAGGGGTAGCACAGAGCACCTTCAGTTCCTCAGTCTCCTACTGTGTTGGCAATTTTATCAAATATCAACAATTGGTAAAATACCCTCATAGTAACTCCTTATATCTTTGACACATACAAGCAACCGATGTCACCTTGCTCTGTTGAGCTACAAATACGTTATAGTCCATTCCTGGCAATCCACCTGCCTTTATCAGGGGCCTGATACAGAGTTTAATAATCTTGTTGCCAAAGCAGATTGCACTGGATGGAATTAAATGGGCAAGAAAAACATTATGCATGACTATTGCAAAAAGGAACCAAGTCTTTTAGCACTGGAAAGAGATGGAACCCAACCACAGGAAAACTAAAAGCCTGAGACTTTAAGTGTGAAGGGAAGCGGCAGAAAATAAGATTTTGTGGGAGTAGATGGCCAGTGTGCTGAGCTAAGGGCTTCTAACAGGCACAAGGCAATGTTGGGCCTCAACTCTACCAAGACAGTGGGAGACAGGAGCACTACAATTGATTGATTGATTGCTTGATATTCAAAATATTTCAAAAATATGGCTCTCTGTGCCTTGTGAAAGACAGCTCTTGGTTGTGAAAGATTTCTAACTTGAAGGTTCAGAGAAATAATTTACAATTGCAGGATTTCTACAGTAAAAGCTCTAAGAGAGGCCCAAGGCCTACAGGCAGGAAGAAATGTGTCTGATCTCAGCCAAGTAGAAGACAGCGGTAAGGCTGTTCTGATCGCTGTGACTGTCCATTTAGCGATGTCGGCAGTGTCCTCTCGGCCAACACTGACCGGGGGTCTCCACAGCTGCGGCCCACCTGGGCTGATTTCCTTAGTAACAATACAAGAAATTGCTAATGACTTTGAAAATGACAATTATTATTAATGTAAATCTAGGGTTATAGTTTACATTAGCATCTTCAAAGTTTTATCTAATCACAATAGTTTGAGAGTCACATTTTCTTTCTGTTGAACAGGAAACTAAAAGGTCAGATACGTGGGTGAATACAATATTCTAGTTAGTTGATTGGTATTCATTCGGAGAGAGCAAAACACAGTGTAATAATAAGGGCCCATTCATGTGAGTCTTATTAAGAGTCTGAAATCAGTATTAATTCCCCATAGAGATAGCAAATCTTTTCAGTGTATTTTGGAAAATTCCACCATTTATGTTATCAGTACTTTGGGGAATCAACCAACATGTTGTAAGAAAGACAGTGAGTTCTGAGCATGGTTTTTGACAGGAAACATGTTCCCAGAGAGGTTAATTTTTCCTCCACCATCTCCACTTAGGAAAAAAAATTGATCATTTGATTGAGATAAAGGAGAAAGCTGAACATTTTTTTTTTTAATTCATTCAAGGCAAAGTAGTGAGAGAATTTTAGGACTACGAAATAGTCAAATTTCATGGCTTTAAGTTTTATATTTGTTCCCCTTCCATTACTCTACCACCCAGATTTTCTAATTCTCTTTTCCTTGCCTTTATACCTCTTTTCAAATTTGAGGAAGTGTCCATAACCGACATGAAGTGTTTAGGCACTTTAGAGCTTGGGCAGAGCCGTGTCCCTGGGATTCGGAGATCCAATTCCTTAGGACACAGAAACCTGCCTCCATTTGGATTTAACATTCGAGTTCTGGAGCAAGCCTTAACCCTCACTTCCTCTTTGCACCTGGCCTTTAGTCTCCCAGTCTCCCAAAAATGTCACTTTGGCTGAACTCTCTTTTGCTTAATTCTTCAAAAAATAATTAGAAAAATTAATGTTCATTAAAGAAAGACCCATACTCTTTAGTGAAATAAATAAGACACACATGTAAATACCGAATAGTTTCTCTGCTGTGAAAAACTAAAAATGTAAATTGTATAACTGTATACAAATTGTATACCTGATAATGTGAAATAGGAAGTAAAGGGCCAAAGGAGAAAGGGAAGTGGGAAGGGTAGGGAAAAGGAAATAAGGGGCAAGAAAAAATTTGAGAAAAGGAAAAAATGGAAACAAAGTATTTATAAATAGGGGAGGGAGGAGGGGGTAAAGGAAGGGAAGGGTATGGGGGATAAATGAGAACCAAGATGCATCATGTAAAGATACAAGAACCCAAGATGAATGTAACTGTACTGTATACTTAAAAAGCACCAATAAACTCAATAAGATTTTTTTAAAAGCCCCTAGTTCTCAAGTTGAGGCCTCATATTGGCATTTGTCTCCCCATATTGGTCTCACTAACTTCTCGTGCCCCAGGGTTCTTCAAGGCCAATGCTATTTTTGTAAAAAAAAAAAAAGAAAAAAGAAAGTATAAAGTTGCTGCTTGTGTTTTTCACCTTCCTTCTCACATGAGTGCGCTGGAGTTTCCAGAGGATAACTGAAGTATGATATTGCAGTAGACTAAATACCTGAGCAGATATGCAGATCCAACTGCGGCTAATCACGCCAGATATGAACAAGATTCACAAAATTGTAAAAAATGTCACTCACGTCACCAAAAGTCTTTTGTATTGTGAAATGTATTCGTTATAAAAATATGTTATTTCTATGAACATATAGCAGGCTTACTATTTCTAATTAATAAATACATGATGCATACTTCTAAAAATCATTGGCTTTAATGTTTGAAATTATAAACAATGAAAAATAAATAAAAGCTGTTTGAAGTCCTTCATAATCTTAATAACAGTTCTTTATAAGAAGACCTAATAATTGTTAGGACTCTTTTGGGAGTCCTGAGATGAAAATGTTTGTAATTTTTGGGTAGAAACAGTTATCCTACCTGTAATATTTTCTCTTTGTAAAGTAATCAATTGTATTCACCAAAGTGTTTAGATCACTAAGTACTTAAAATATTGAATGACTTCATAGTGGCCACCAGATAGACTCAGGGCTTCACCTGCAGAAAAAGTCCCCACATGGTCTCTCGCTTGCCCGTCCTGCCCTCCGTCAGGCTCAGATCCCGACAAGCTGAAGACCAAGGCCTGGGTGGTTGGGGCAGTAAAGCTGCAAGGAGCTCCCCTGAGTGCAGGATAATGAATTCCTGCCAGGCAGGAAAGGAAGAGTCTGGAAGGTGCCAACTCTGTGTGGTCCTCGTCCAACAACCCGGAGTGGTAAACCCAAACCACGGAGCCAGATTAGCACCACATGAGGAAGCTTGCTCGCGGCGAAGCCTCTAGACGATGGCCGCAGGGCTCGGTGGTCTGCAGCTCCACTGCAAGGGCTCTGGCAGAGCGCTCAGGAGCTGAAGACAGGACCATTGTGTCTCCTCCCTTCACACCGGTCCATGAGAGCTCGGAAGGTGTGTGGCAGGTGGAGTGGAGCAGCCCCTCACAAGGTCCCCAAGGGCCCGGGTCCGGGGAGGGTCACGGGCACCTGACTGCACTCCAAGTTACCTGTGTTTCTAGCCTGCACCTCTGTGGCCTGTGTGACAGAGTCACCGGGCCACTGCGGAGGGGTTGTGACCCTGTACGTTTCCCAGTCTTCCTTTATAAGCTGTCTCCGCAGAAAGCTGCTTTCTGCTTTATGTAAATGCACTGCCCTTGCTCTGCTCTTGTTCTCCTTACAAAACTTACCTTTTCCTGCTCTGTGGACGTGCAGTCTTGGAGGGTTCAGGATAATTTCTCATCCCCATGTCTGATGCTCCCAAATTAAAGCGCTTTCTCTCATGGGCAGTATTCCATTACAGTTTACCCGCATCTTCTATTACTGCTTTTTCCTGACACTCTGTACTTCATGTTGCTTGTAATCATTTTCTTTTCACACTGATGGAAGACTTTTGACTAAAGGGACCCTGTCCAGTTCACCATTATCCTTTTCAGGGACAACACAGTTTCTTCAACCACACATTGCTCAAGGAGCTCATTTTCCGCTGATGAATCAGCAATATTAAGGGCTTTTAGGATAAACATAGCATCCATGACAGTTATGAACAGGCACCAACTTTCTTACATTCTACACAAGCTTTGTTATGATGATTTTGTTGTTAGTAGTAGTAGTAATAGCAGCAGGAGTAGCAGTAGTAGTAGAGTTACATTCTGATGAGCTTTTTAGGTTTAAGAATTCATAACCAACTGCAGCTTGCTTCCTCGTATGTTTATGTGCTCACTAACACATGGGTGAGAATAGCTGACCTAAGTAGATCTCATTCAAAGTAAATTTCAGTGTAGCTTCCTGTTCTTAAATATATTGGACTTAAAAAAAAAAAGAAATTCACTTGGTTAGATCATGGCTTTTTTTTTTTTTTACATTTCTTCTTTAGGAAATGTTTTATTTTAATAAATACTATTATCTACCCAACACTAGACTTCAAAATATGTTTTTTTTTTATCTTGGTACAATTGATATTTGCTATATTACTGATTTTATTACTAAAAACCAGGAAGCAGATAGATAACAAGCACTTCACAAATACACATATTGTGTTGAGTTTTCCACACTTACCCTATAGCAACATCTAGCTATTTAGCTATTATTTTCCCAAATTGTGAAGTAATTTGCAAAAGTATTACTTTAATGATATACTTTTCTATTGAGTGGATATACAACAAATTTTTTAATAATTTCCTAGCATTAAGAGTACACTGTTTAATATTTCCATCATTTAGAAGTGTTAAACAATTTCATGGCTAAGTTACACATTTATAATTTTGCATTATTCTCTTTGGATTCCTAGAAATGGAATTACTACATCAAAAGGCATGATGATTTTTATAATGGCCTAGATTTTTTCCCAGGTTGCTTTGCTAAAATGTGTTTCCAGCTTAATGAAAATGGGCTATTACTTTCACACTGTTATAGCACTGGTTAATATTTTCATAAAATATCTTTGTTGACCACATAACCACCTCTTGTGGACAAATTGTCATTTTCGAGCATGTTGGCCCATTAGTACTTCTTGGAAATATAGTCAGGATACCAGCGCAGCACTCTATGGTGCGCAAATCCCAAAACGTGGAAATTATTAGTGAATGTCTATTGTTCTGTCCTGAGACAGATACCTGCCACCCAGGGAACAAATTATCTGTCATTTAAAGAATCAACATAGAGTTCATTATTATGGTTCTAATTTCAGTAGTAGTAAGAGAATTTCAAATTTAAGTTATAGAAGAAGTAAAAAGACTGAGGAAATAAGGGATAAAATATTCTAAGAAAAAAATTTAAGCTAAGATGCTTCCATTCTAAAATAAATGAGGTCCCCCCCCCAGGAAAAACCTCTTGTTCTTATTTTCGGGTGGTAGAAGACAGTTTATGACCTAAATAATGATTTTAAAATCAGATTTAAATGATTTAAAATCAGACCTTAGCCGATTGTCCCTCAATTAAAAATAAAATGTGTGTCAGTTGACCATTGAATACACACTGTCGTAGAGGAATTATGAGTATAAAATGTTAATCAGTAGTCCGTGAGCAATATCAAATTATTCCTTTTCTGATACAATGGGAAAAATTTAATATCTTTACTGGAAGTATATTGATTGCTCAAAGAAAGCGCAGTGCTGGTCACTTGAGCTAAATTCCTGGATTTTGGATTAATTTATGGAGTCACATTGTAGATTTGCTCAGTTTGACTTTTTACTAAAAGTTACTGAATTCTGTAGGCCTGACAAAATCTCTATGTAAACTATTATGTGTCTATTTTCTTACATTTCTGTGTTTCTTATACTTCAAAAGATTTTCACATCTGGTCTCATTTAGATATTCATCTTTTTTAAAATAGTAATTTCTCTTAGGCTTTATATTTTAGAGATATTTCATACAGATAATCCATTTTGCCAAAAATTATCTCAGTGTTTATGGAAATTTTTATGAGATATTCAGTCATTGATTTATTCTATCTGTTGTACCAGTAATTTATCTTTGTATTTTCAGAGTCCAAGAAAGTGAAACCACCGACAGAAGGTACTGGAAATATTTTCTTTTTATGCCCTGCATGTGATAAGCCCTAAAGTAGTGTTTTTCAGAAAGGATTAACAGAAGAAAATTTATATTTGGGACAGATGAGAAAGGAGGCATGCCAATTTTTTCTGGTGATACTGTTATGGAAAATATTTGGCAGTAATAAAAATTTCTGTATGTTTTTACCTTTTATAGTAAATTTTTTTCTCAAAAATGTTTATTTTATATACAATAGAACAGTGATAGCTACTTATGTTACTAGAACATATACATTTGGATGCACCAGCATCAGTAGGAGCTGAAGTGTCTTTAAATCCTGAACGGGTTACTAACTCATTTCGCCCAGTGCAGACTGTGTTTTCTGGACTTCTTCACAATTTTCTGGGCAAACAAAGGGTGTAGCTGTTTGAATGTGTTCATTTCAGAAGACTGCCACTGGCAAATCATTTAAAATTGCCAGCGAGTATAGTTTCAGCTCAATTCAATGTCAGATGGTGCTTTTTCATCAGGTTACGGTGTAGTGGTGTAACGCACAGCAGTGCAGTGTCAGAACCTTACTCCCTCTGTGGGGCAGAATGAAAACAAAGGTTAGGAAATGTGCATTGAGTCCAAGCATAGATAGTAAGTTTTGCCTTTAAGTCTTTGAAGAGCAATGGTTTTCTCTTTGCATTCCTTTCAACAGAACAGCCCAAGGGAAAAAGTAAGAAATGCATGAACAGTTATTTGTGTATGCTTTCTCTCTCTAATACTGTTACTGGCCTCCCGGTTGAGTCAGGCCTGCAATTTTAAATCTCTTTTTCCTATGTTTTATGCATGTGGAGTCTGTTTGTTATTGTTTTGTCAGAATAAAGAATATACAGCTCCTCAGGTCAGAGCAGGCTGGAGAGGGCAGTAAACATTCTGAAAGCCCTTTTTTCTAACTGCGGCATCTAATAATACTACCCACAGGCTTGTAACAAAAAGCAACTGCGTTCCATTAGCCCACAAGGTCTTGTTTGTGTAATGTAGTCCTTGTAATCAAGTTAGTTCTCAATTCTTGGAAACTGTGTACAAAACATTTTCCATATTAGTTTCACAGCCTCTTTCTTATTATCCTTCTTCTTAAATTCTATAGATATTTTCGCATGTCACATGACATAAGACATTTTGTCTCCAACATGACTTTCTCCCTATTAGGAGTGCGAGCTCTGTGTGAAAACATTGCTTAGGGCCCGTGTCTTCGGCTTTGACACTCTTTTAAGGCTGTTTGCTAGCAAATCGGTACAACTCAGTACCTTGAGGTTGTGGCTTTACAAATATGTACTCTCCTTGTAAGAAAACAAATAGGATACGTTAACAAATGTAAGTTCAAACAATAAACAATTTATCCTTACTCCATTAGCCATTAAAAATGAGTGCATTTTCAGAACGAGGAGATTTTTTTTAAGTTCCCCATGGTATTAAAGACGTTTGCTTTAAAGTACACACCAGTTTTAAAGAATGTTTATGTATGGTTTAGCTCTACAAAAAAGTTAGGACTCTGACACATTCTACTCCATAAAAATGCTTTAAACTGTCTTGTGGGAAAAAATCATGAAATTATGCCAGCAGTCAGCCAGGGGGAGCAGTTTATCTATGGAGAAGGACGTGCCGGTGGAGACGGGTTTACGCCTGCGCACAGCCGCTGCTGGGCTGGGTACCACATAAACGCTTGCACCAGCCGGCAAGTGGCAGACAAGTGGAGACTGAAAATGCTATTAAATCATACATCTGTACCCCTAGGGCCCCCCTTCACCGCGGTTTGTGTGAATTAGCAGTTCCTGCACACGCACTGCGTAGCTCTGTAGCAGTCTTCAGGGCACGGATGCGTTTAATAAATAACGTTGTCTTCGCAGGCTCTCCGTTAGGATCCACCCGCTTCCCTGTGAGACGGCCTGTGGCGAGTGCATAGGCAGTGGCAGGGGGCAGAACACGCTTTCTCCAGTGCTACCGTCAATTCCTTGCTAATGAATTCGTTCGCTCTGATTTGTCATCTGCACTGACTTTTATTATTTTTCTTGTGCTTTGGGATTCATTTCCTCAAGATTACTGCCTCTCCCTCCACACCTCCACCTTATGTTTTCTTCTGCTTTTCTAGTTATCGTGACTTAAAAGATGGTTCTTTTTCCGGTTTCAAAGTACAACCACTACCGAAATCAGCGTGCAGATTGTGCAAAAGGCTAAAACTAGAAATTTCCTGCGACCCAGCTATTCCTCTTCTAGATATCTCACCAAAAAGTTAAAGACCTCAGGCTACAGAGATACACACAACACAATGTATAATAGTTAAAGCTTGGAATCGGCCCCTATGTCCATCAACAGATGACCGGATAAAAGGCACGTGGTATTTGTACACCATGGGGCCTGCTGTGTCCTCAACGATGACAAGCTAGAGTCATTTGTAGGAAAATGGATACAACTCAGGGCCATGATATGCAGTGAAATAAATCAAACACACAAGCCTAAATGTCATGTGGTCTGTCCTATTTGAGAAAAACTCATTATAAATAAAGAGCAAAATTTTTTAAAAAATAGGTCACGGAAGTAGGTAGATTGATCTTACTCCAAGAGGAGGCAGATCAAGGGTAGGAATGAGAGAGGAGGGGAGAGGAATGGGTAAAGGAATTGAGATGTATGCGTGCAGGGACCAGATCCACACAGGGGATGTGGACATTATGTACTGCAAAGGGTGTTTGGACCCCTCCCATGCATTTTGAAATTTCCTTGATCTATAAATCTTTAAAAGCAAAAGTAAAAATAAAGATAATTCAAGCAATCCTTCACAGGTACTGACTGGCAGTCCCTGTATAATTTAGTGGTAATCAGTGCATGAAATGATCGCTTCATTAGATCTCCCCGTGTCCTGCAGGACAAACAGCCTCCAGTCACTGTCCTTGCAGGGGCACAGCCTGTGCTGCACTGCTCCTTTCTGACAAGTCAGCAACACCTTTAACTTTGAACCTTATCCGTAACTGTCGTTCGGTTTTGTAGTCAAAGCTGCTTCCATTACCTTTTTTACGACTGTCACCACTTTAGAAGTGTCTCCGAATGAAGCCAGAGGTGCCGGTGCATGTCAGGGACCTCTGCAATTCCATAGGCTAAGGCATGGGGGCCACGTGATCAGGGTCAGCCTGGGCAGCACAGCCAGACCCCACCTCAAAACCTTTCAGAAGTGACTAGGAAATTTTTCTTTTTTTATAGTTGAAGCTTTTCACTCAATGTTTTTTTGTTTGTTTGTTTGTTTTGTTGGTGGTGGGGTTTTTTGGGGTTTTTTTTTTTGTTTTTTTTTTTTTGGTACTTGGGTCCTTGGGCTTGCAAGGCAGGCCACCAAACCACTGAGCTAAATTCCCGGCCCCACTCAATGTTTACTTACTCAATACATATAATTACTCCTCCTTTGGCCGAAAACATTTATTAATGTTTCCCTTACCTTTAATGTTAGCTGAGGTTCTTTTTTTCCACTTGCAAATCTTAGGTCAAGCCAATGATTCTGTTCATCTTACTAACCCTGCATGTTATCTGAGAGGTGGAGAAGTTGTTTATTAGACCTACAACCAGAAGCCTGAGAAAGAAAATTGGGAGACAGATGCACTGACCACCGAAATTCCGTGATGCTTGGTGTTCCTAAAATCTAGTTCAGAAAATTCTTTCAGCTTGAACATCAACTAGTTTTCAAAATAATCATTTAGTGAAAGTTTAAGAAGTATCCCCCATTCTCTCTCTTTAAGGTATCACCTGGTAAGGTTTATGTAATAGCATTTCTTGGAAATATTCTTTTACCTTTACAAGCTCAGTGAGTCAAAATAAATAAGAATAGAAATACAGATAACAGCGTTTCATATAAAACTAGCGCTTGCACTTCATTGGAAATTATACTCATTGCGTTGTGAATGTCAGCTTCAGCTTGAGGCCAGAAAATGCTTAATTTCAAACAATATTGACCAAAGTGGGTTCTTAGAAGAAATGCTATCCAAAGAAAGTTCCCAGAGGGACATTTGCACTAAAAATAATGCAGAAATGCTACACTCTCCCTTTTGCTTCTTTAGCTTCATGTTTTTCAACCTGCTTTAGAAAGCCTTTGTTTTTGCTAAATAAATCTCTTCCATATAAGAAAGTTCCTAGAAGAGGAAATCCATAGATTGGTCCATCTTTGTCTTTCTGAGAATTACTTTTAAATAACTGCAGTATTATCCCTTTTGTTGTTTTTATCACAAACCTATTACATATTGATTTAAAATAGCAAATTAAAAATTTTCCACCCTTTATGGAGTGTTTTTCTTATTCTTCTGATCTCTTATCCGTGAAAGACGTGAATTTCTCTAATAGTCAAACACTTCACTGATGCTCTGTAAGAGAACTCCCAAAGCAAAAGGAAGGGAAAAACTATTTTAAGTATCCAGTGTTAGTCTTCTAGCAGTTACTGAGTTGCTGCAATCCAGCCTCAGAGCCTGTGGATCTGTTTATGTTAAGTGAGCAGTTTATGACATGTGTAATTGTAGCATTAATGTGACCATTATAATACTAACAGTAATAATATGTTTCAGAACAGGAAAAGAAAGAAAAACATGTGGAGCCAGGTAATGGGTTTAAAATTTCTTTATTTTCTTAATTGCATGATTATATTTAATTCACCATTGAATACTGAATTAGAAATGAATGTCATGGAACGTTGACTGCTTCCTCTTTTCCTCCTCATTACAGTAAAGTCACCGAAGAAGGAACAGCCAGGTGAGTGAGGCTGGTGCCCTTGACTCTGCCTGCCGGCTGCTGGTTCATGGTGCAGCCACTGTACCCCTGGGTGTGTAAATCTAGTGACAGCAAAAGGCAGGAAACCGCCCCACTCCACAGTGTATTTTCCAAGTCCTGGGAGCAGACTTTGCAGCAGTGTAGTTGCGGAACGTGAAAGCCAAGTGTGCTGCACCCCAGCTACTCAGTGTGTGTTCCGTGAGCCGGCAGCGTGGTACTGATCACCAGTGAGGTGCGACGGTCACCACCCCCCACAGACCGACTGCATCCGTCTTCATGTCGTCCCCAGTGGATTCTTCTACAATCACTGTTCTACACTTTAGTATAAAAACAAAAGGTCATCGACAAGGGGAAAAAAATGAGAATCAAGACCTGTCATGTAAAGGTACAAGATCCCAATAATGAACTTAATTGTACTGTATACCTAAAATGTACCAATAAACTCAATAAAAGAAAAAAAACACAAATAAATCCCTTTCTACAAATACGTCTTATATGGCTTGGCTTTTCACATTTGAAATATTCACTTCCAGAGCATGCTGTCTCCTTATTCATAGTGTCGCTTCTCAATATTTCTTGAGTACTTGGTAGACTTGTCATGAAACAGAGGTAGATTTGCTCTCAGTATAGTTACAGAGAAAAACTGAAAGGAAAACCGAACACACAAATGAACCGATCAATAAAAAGTAAAAGTGCAGTTAGCATAAGTATCAAATCATGTTATTGAAAATTTCTAGCATTTAACCTGCTTAGTCATTTCAAATGAAAAAGTCTGAATTTTTTTCTACTGACTTCTTCTGAAACATTGACTTTACTTGGCTAATTGCTACTCAAATAACTCGACTGGGAGGTAGGGGGGGCAGCCGTAGCCTCGCAGAATATCCATTAGGCATCCTTCCTTTTCGTTGTTCAAATGGGGACAGCATTCGCTCCATATCGGGCAGATAGCCATGCATCTATGGCTAATGTTACTCCTGCTAAAACCACAGCAAATGATAGTTTAAAGGCATTTTTATCATTCTTCTTCCAACACCTCCTAAGATACCTCAAATTCATTCCAGTGTCTCTCCAGCTAGTTCCATAGAATCATTTCCATACCTTTATAGTAGCATCTGATATGCTGTTTTAATCACACTCACTCTTCCTTTATTTACTTTACAGAATCAGAAATTAGAGGCTGGAGACTTTTATCATTCTCTTTGGAATGCTTATTTATCTCAAGGCCACTCTTTGGGTATTTGCTAATGGTTTATTAGGTGGAATCAGGAAGTCTAAATAAAATAGTAACAGTTTTTTAAATTTAAAATGGAATAACGTGCAAAGGCATAATTTACTAGAGGAAATAATTGTGTGTTCCACCAATTTTACATTAATAGCTTGGCTAGTTAAACCGTGGTATGAGTGTTTCATGTGCTTTGCTGTGGGCGGCCTCTGTGTTCAGGAAAGTATCACCATGACCCCACCATCAGGCACACTCACACGGTACACACTGGCGAAAAGCTAAAGTGGAGCCTTCATCATAGAACCATGGAGAGGCGTGCACATCACTACCAGTGTCACTAGGCTTGAGAGATCCGGTAGCTACCTGTTACTGTCTGACACTGCACATCGTGACATAATTGTTTTTGAGCTTCCATATATTCATTCAATCATTTATTCATCCAGCAAATGCACAGTGAGGCTCCGTGTCTTGGAACAGAGCAGGTTAGGCAGATGACACCTGTGCTCATGATGCTCAGGACCGGCTGGGGAAAGAGGTGAGTCCCCAGCTGGAGGCTGCGCCATGTGACGGGCACTGTGAGAGTTCAGACAGCAGTCCACACCAGGAGCAGGGTAGGGGGTCAGGGACAAGTTTTGGAGGAAGGACACCAATGTAAGATGAGCTCTGACCAGTGATTCGCAATTGGTGGAATCTGTGGGTTTGCTAGAACCTCCTTAACAAAGTACCACAAAAGGGGTGACTCAAACAACAGAAACTCGTTGTTTGGTGCTTCTGAGGCAGGAGGCCCCGAAATCAGAGTGTAGACAGGGTTGGAGGGCTGTGAGGGAGAATCTGTTCCAGGGCTCTCTCCTCAGCTGTAGTTTGCTGGTGATCTTTGGTGTCCCTTGTCTTTTTTTAAATTGAGTTTATTGGTACATTTTAGGTATACAGTACAGTTACATTTATCATTGGGATCTTGTACCTTTACATGACAGGTCTTGGTTCTCATTTTTTCTCCATACCTCTGCCCTCCCTTTACCCCCTCTTCCCCTCCCCGTCTACAAACACTTTATTTCCATTTTTTCATTTTCTTATATTTTTTCTTTTCCCTTATTCCCTTTCCCCTACCCTTCCCACTTTCCCTACATCTTAACAAACTGCTTGAAATAAACTGCTCCTTTCAGGGTGTCATCATAGTGCAATAATTTACAAACAATTAGTTGTATTTGAAAAATTGAAAAATTATTCACATATTGATTTTGTTCTTTTCATGCCATTTTATGGAATTTAAGAAAAATGTATTTGCCTGAATAAATAAGTAATCAGATTCTTAGATAATTTAAAATGGAAAACAGAATGAATGAATCATCAATAAGGGTTCTCTGTTCAAATAAAATCTATGAAGAGCAACCTCCCCAAATTGTGATTCTTGGGCTGTGTAGAGGGTATATCAGAGAAAATTATAAAGTTTCATTATCTCTTTTTCATATCAACTTTTTTTTCACTTTCCAACATTATGCATAGTCTTTAAAATGGCTAACTTAATCTTAAATACTTTTTTCAAAAGATAAATAGATTTACGATTAATGTAGAACTTATTTTTTCTTTTCATTAACAGCTCCAGTTGAAAAGCAAGGAAAAGCAAGTATGTTCAGCATAATTTTTAAAAAGCATATTCACTTGAGTGTTCTGCTGCAAACTTTGCTAATAATGATTTTTGATGCTGGTTTAACAAGTATTTATTGTATGTCATTTACTATGTTGAAATACTGTGCAAAATTACTCATCTTTAGCTTTCCTGTGAATTAATTCTTAGGAAAATTTATCTAAGGAGATTTTATTTGTAAATTTTAATCAGTCCAAATTATAACCTGTTTTGAATTGTTTATATTCTTGTCTTCTAATTTGCAAAATGAGAAAGTTCTTTAGTTCCTTAAACATATATCCATTAGGATATTTCATTATCTTAATGATTAATCCAGGCCAATTCAGTAGACAAGATCATTTTCTACCACAAAAGTTGTGTCTTTAACAAAATGTGGCCTCCCTCAAATTTCATTAACTGCTAATATTGTAGTGCCATGGCTCCCTTTTAAGATCTGTATGACCAGACTATGAAATACTGACTTAAAACTATAACTATTATGGCATTTATGTCAATGATAGCCTTGACAACATGCTGAGGGAGAAATGCTGATTTCATTGTTGAGTTTTCTTAATCTGATGAAGTACCTGACATATTGTCATTAAGAAAAATCATTTAAGCATAATGGCAAGTATTTTATTACAGAAAAGATATAATTAGCTTCAAGCTTTGAATGTAGGACTTATGGTCAAACCTCAGTTATATGCATGATGAAGTATGTTTCTCTTTTCCTTGTGGTCTATAGGTACCTCAGTATTAATTATGATATGACTAAATGAAAGAGATGCATATTTTATTTAGCATTAGGCTCTTTGAGATGCAAAGTATCACTGTTAGGCATATTGTAAAATAACTAGAATATTTATTGAGTTGCTTGTTGGAATTTTTTAAGGAGGGTTAGACTTGTTCACATACACATTGAGAACTCTAAAAAAGTGGCTTAGTGAGCATCTAAAGATCCATTTATAATTCTATGAAAAAATTTGAATTTAAAATTGAATGTAAAGCTAATTAGAATTCTGCATGATGGGCTGCTCAGTATACAAGTACTTAGGCTGAAGAAATGCATAATCAAGAAAATGTACAAAACAAAATGATACTTTTGCAGCACTAGAAGCGAATTTTGATAGTAGATTACTATAAAAAATTAACATTTTCCCACTGGAAAAATGTGCCAGATAAAAATATTCATCTGGAATAATAAGAATCTGTAAGTTCTATCATCTACAGAACACTGGGTCTAATCAAGTTTTGAAGGGCTCAGCATATTTTAGTGAAATTAGCAAATTAATTTGCTAAACCATTTAAATCCAATATAAAAATGTCAAGAGTTAATATTCAGCTCTCTGTGAAATTGGACTTTTGAATTTGGAATGAACTTTGTTCTTCAACATGAAAATTAATTGCCAATAATTTATAAACTTTAAATTTTCTGATCACAATGTGATCAACTGTTTCTCCAACTATGAGCCTCTTTTTTTTCTTTTGGCAATGAAATCCCTGTTTTCCTTTCTATGGTGCCCAGCCTCCCCATACTGGATTCCTCTCTGTCACTCCCTGTGGGATTCTGGCTGCACACAGGTAGCAGCATAGAAGTTGACAATGTGACAAGGCATTTCCAAATGGGGACAGAGTCGGACAAGCAGAGTTTTTAGCATACAGCATTTCAGGAATTTAGGAATTTAACAGCATCCACAGTGAATCCTTTAAAAGGGACTGACTAGATACTGTTTTCTAAAGTGATCTGACCCCTCACCCTGCCCACCTTTGTCAGCGAACCCTCTGAGAATCAATTTTCGGGACCTCAGGCCGCTCTCGCCGTAGTCCACTCCCACAGTGTCCAGGACCGTGGGGCTATCTACCATCTTCCAGGTGCACATTCAAACAGCCCGGGGTCAGTTTAACTTTTGAGCAGAAAATTAACCAGGGACTAGGCCAAAATCCAGTCATTTTTAATAGAGGGTCTATAATTTCCATCAACTGGCAGCAATCAAGCATTGTTCCTCCTCTGATTTTGGAACTGAACGTGTGGTATGCCTATGCACCAGGCCTGAGGGTTGTCACCTAGTCATACTTTGGAGTCAAACTGCCTGAGTCAGATAGCAGTCAGCAGATGTGTGTCAGGATCTTCCAGGAAAAACCAGTATGCAGAATTGAAGAACAAATATATAGTTATCTAACACTAAAAAAACACTTGGGGACAATGCATATTGGTAAAATG